GAGAGAGAGAGAGAGAGAGAGAGAGAGAGAGAGAGAGAGAGAGAGAGAGAGAGAGAGAGAGAGAGAGAGAGAGAGAGATTGCACAGGAACATGAACAAATTGTATGGTAACATTCAGAGAGATTGCCATTGCAGGGGCGACATTTTCCAGCTATATGACTGTGCAGGGGTGACATTTTAGGTCTAGAGCACTCCAGATAGACCAATTTGCTGGGGGGAAAAAAGAAAAGAAAGGTTGTCATGAAAAAAGGTCAGAGTGATCGGGCTCTGGTCTCTTCCCAGTTGCTCCAGAGTCTTGGACAGATATCAGAACGGATGTCTTCAACTTTTTTCGTGCTCACAGAGATTCAAAAATGAGGAAACGGTTAAAAATTAAAAGAAAACATGATGTGCAAGTGTGTTGGCTCTTCAAATAGCCAATGCCAGCAGGAACACAAAGAAAAAGGTGGACCTGGGAGTGTCGGATCGAAAGCGGAGGCGTTTGTGAGGGGAAGGTTGTCAGTGCACAACCAGTGGTTTGCTCTGGCCAGTGTACAACCAGTGGTGATGGGAAGCTCTTAAACCGCTAGTACACGGCCCCAGCCTTGCAGAAAGTTTTTGTCGCCACAAGCAAAAGTCGGACATGCCGCGCGGCCCTCCGCGCCGTAAAAAAAAATAAAAATCGGCGGCCTCGAAGTGGTGCGGGTTTCATGCTGACACCAGCGGGGCGATGTGTGGTGTACTGGTGCTTTAAACTACCAGAGTAGCTTTTCAAGCTATTTGTTCTGACACGGTCGTTAACGCACCGTATCCTTTGAGGCTTGTCCTACTAGACCAGAATGGTTGGCTGTGACGTCCAAAAAGAAGAAGAAAAAAAAGTGCCACGCCGGCTCATTTTCCGTGGGCGTGAATCGGAAATCCGCATAGGGGAAAGAGGTCCAGAGGTACTGGTGTGTCAAACTACCCAGGGGCCTGAGCCTCGTTATCCTGATGTGATTTTGTAAGAAATCTATAAACCGTCGCAGGTCGCGATTTGTCTGGCGCAGCAGTCTTTCCCCGAAGAGCACTTCAAGGCTCAAGCCTTTCCCTGCCTCGATGTTAATGTGCGAGGCCACCGCCTCTATGAGCCCCATAAGGCCCCATTTTGCAGCCCGTCGGCTGCCCTAAGTGAAGGCAGGCTCGACAGGCCCTCAGGGCCCTATTCTGGCCACCACGCAACTCAGGGAAAATTTAGGCAGTTGCGCAGCGCCAGTTGGTTGAGTGAACCCAGGCCCTGGGCCGCCTGTGTGAATGTATGTGAAGCAGGCTCTGGGCTGGATACGGGTACTGGGCCAAACACAGGTCAAAGGCAGTTGGGCACATGCAACCACCTCAGGCCCAAGGCCTGTTCTCATCGTGCTGGGCCTCAGGCTAYCGGGGCCTACTGGAAGCTTCCTGGGACTGGACGCAGGCAGGCCACTTTGATATAGCACAGGGCCTGCCTCCGTATTTGGTATTCGGGTGCTGGCTGCATGCTGCGCAAGCGCTGCCGCACTATTTGCTGGCCGGCGCCTACGCTCTCACGGGCGAGCAGGGAAGGAGCACGCAGCCATAGCCGAGCTGGGCTGCTGTAAGCTGGGTGAAGCGCAGGGTGGTCTTTGGGTGCTAGTGGCATCTGTGTGTTGGGGAACGAGGTTGTGAGTGTGGCGAGAGACATACCTGGTGCTGGAAGCGTGCGACGCTGGTCGTTGTA